TAATAATGTAACTGGTTAAACATTTAAATTTTTGTTTTGAAATTATAGGGTGATTGGATGCTCTGTAAGGGGAATTTGTTCCCTTGATTTTTTTTCATCTCCCTGTAAAAATGGAGCCAAACTCCCCAAACACATACTACTTACACCTGCTGTCCTGTTAACCGAATGTCATCTGATAAAGGACTCCATATATAGACAGATGCCCCCCTACAATCTATGTGGAATACTAGCACCCCACCCAGAGAAGTCATCAATTCTTCTTCAACCCTCCGACGAACCCAGTTTAGAAAATATGACATATAAACATAGATTATATCACATGCAATTACAATAAATAAAATCATTTATGTATCATATTTAAAATATTTTGTATGACACTTTAATAATTGTAATGTATATTGTATATTGTTTATATTTAGGAACACCAATAATCTTAAAACTTGAAGCGTATAAATAACAAAATGAATAAAAAATATACAAAAATAGATTGAATTTACATTTTAAAGACAAATATTTTTACTTTATTCCTAAATATACATTAAATTTGTATAAGATACTGTATATCTGTATATTATACGCCTTTTGCAGCCTATATACATTGAAAACTGAACATGAGATAGTTTCTCATTTTCAAGGATTTGTGTAAAACATTATCTTTCACTCGTATCATATTACTACTTATTTCAGAGCCCTTAGTATCACACGATCGAACTTTCAACGTTCTTATATTATATTTATCACTCATGGTCATACAATTAGATAAAATTTCCATCCAAAAACCTAACGACTATTTTTCATTATACGTAATTGTAAATTAATCAATCACTATACATGTCGTGGATCTTTTCCAAACAACTATTCTGTAAAAGTACATAACCAACATTTAACTAGGATTAACTAGAATAATGACTAATGAGTTCAGAGTTTAGAGTAATGCTTAATACTCAGAATAAATGTCAGTGTGTCACACAGTATTCATTTATTTTAAAATAATTCGATTGCGATACAAACTGGAAAATATTACTTTATTTCCTACACAACACACCTATACATACACTCAAAACGTGTTGAAATTATTATTTGAATTATTTGAAATTATTTATTTACTAAACAAAATGATAACACCACTATTTCTTCGTCGAGTATTAATTGAATAGTATAATATGCATATGTTTCAATAATTATTCAGCCTCATTATATATTTCTTCATAGTTCTCAACTCGGCGGCCGATGAACAATACATTATCACAGAAACAGATCTAGAGGTTGTCCAAAGAAATTATCAATATTATATTATGTTAATAGAAAATATAATTAAGTAAGTATGGTTTTAAATCTAGTCTAAGGTAACATCGATAATATCTGATTTTTCCATTTTTGATTGTTCATGGACTTTTTGTGTTCTGCTATTTAAAACTAGATATTTCGTTATTACAATTATTCAATTATTTTATTAAACTGAAATAATAAAGGAATAATAGTGTGAGAAATACAAATTAAACAATGGGAGTTTAATTAATATATATAGATGCAATTAATGTCGTTATGAAATCGCTTGCAGAGTTCTACACTAAACTATTGCATCACACTATATTCATAAATATATCAAATATTAATATTAACATTTTATTATTTCTCAATTTATTTGAATCTTGCTTACAGAATGTTGATGACGTAATTTTGAATCATTTTATTTATTCATATGTAAAGGTTGTCAAGTGATTTGTCAAATTTGATAATTGCATATTTTAGTGACTGACAAACGACGCAATCTCAAAAGTAGGTAGTGTAATAAATATTGGATACTTAAGTGTATTATATAACTATTGTTGTATTGTTTTTAAAAATATTTAACAGCCATGCTTATCTTGGATAATATATTAATTTGACCTTAGAATAATAAATAATAATCTTTCAGTTATTCTTTTTGCTTATGTCTCCAAGCTAAAGTTTTGTCCTTTAAATTTGAATGCTTGACATTTTCCATTTTATATGTAGTTGGTAGGTACCTACATTTTAAACATATTTATATAATTAGGTATAAGTAGATACCATTTAGATAACATTGACTTAGTATTAATACTAAATTATGTTATATATTATACTTCCTGAACGAGTAAAAAACAATAAAAATAAATCTTTTATCCGATTCACGAGGATTCAATTTCTAATTTTTCACTTACTCTAAAATATTTATCACTATTATATAATAATAATACTACTTATTGTTATTCAATTCTATAAAAATGTTTTTTTCCATTATTTTTTTTTTTGATCTAATTATTTCTTTCTTTATTAGAAATTAAAACTTAACTTTTTGTTTATTAACTAAAAATGAACTATATTTTTAATACGACAGAATGTTGTAGTAGTTTTTTTCTTTAAAAATGTTCCTACAGTGACTGGACCATTTATCCATAGTTTAATTATAACAGTGTTGGTGAATGGATGATATACTCGTATAGTTTCATCAAAAAATTAGCTGCAATGCTGGCTTGGGCGTATTGTTTATAGTGTTAAGGTTTGTAAGGAAAATAGTACATTTGTGTGAAATATGTTGCATAAACGAAACATCTAAGGGTTTTAACCAACTGCTAGGACGTAAATATTATAAACACAATCATTTATCCATAGCAGTCGTATGGATTAAAACTGAGTTTACGAGAACACATTTTTTTGTATTTTATTTTTTTATCAGTTTGCCTTTGGTTAAAATTTAAAAGGCGAAATAGTACTATATGTAATATCATAAGTTATTTAATAATAAATTAAGAAAATGTGCGCAGTCAAGATTTCATACTTTTTATAAATGACAATTACTTTGATTTATATAATTTAACAATGAAGTTCCATCAACTGATGGTGACTATTCACCCAAGCCCCTTGTTTGAAATGTTGTAAATTGTATTTGATTAGATGTATTCTATTTTTTCTAATATTTCTTAAAAATCCACAAAATCACTCGTGCTTATTTTAAAAAATGATACTTTATTGATTGTTCAATTATTATATTAAAAAAAAATATATATACATATATTTATAAGTATACATAAACCATGTTAACATAATATTATTATATTTTGGTAGGTCTATTTTTAATAATAGTTAATGCTATATTACCAATAAGTACTTTAAAACTATTGATGATAATATTTTCAGGTTAAAATAAAACTCTTTCTCCTCATCACATAAAATACCATACACCATATCTACACCACTTTTGTGGCAAATATGACTTATCTATCGGCTACGCGCACTGCGCAGTGTATGCATATCATATGATAATAAAACAGTTTGTATACTAATGTGATATAGTTACTGCAGCGGGATTTCAGTCGATAGCTGTCGTCTACATAGGTTAATTTAATCGTACCGAACGTTTGTGTGAAGATGTTTCGCAGGCTCAAGTCATCGGCCATCGCAGTGGTGCTGCTCGCTGCAATTGTTGCTCACACTCTAGTTACACCCACCGACAACGTCGCAACGGAAGATCATTCCAATAGCACGTCTACAGCTCGTCCTGTCGTTAACTATCTCGACCCAGGTCAGTCAAAGACAGATTCACACGATATTACCATTTACCACCTTTAAAATAATTTTTTTTTTTGTCACCATCGCTCAGATTTTTTTGATTATCACACTGGAGCAATTCGTTTTTAATGAGCAATATTTTTCAAACCATCAAATGAACTGATTGGTATTCCGTCCCGTAAAAGTTCTTAAATCGTTGTGCCTATGACGACCACAGGAAATGAAACGAATATAAAATATATTGGCGTCGTCGCCATGAAGTTACATCTCAAATCCACCACTGATTTATGGTTGAGAGAATCATATTTTCTCCGGGTGTTAAGAAAATCTTAGTTCTGCCTTACTGTATTATCTGTACAGCTGTATAGCGACAATATTATTTTGATATTTCACAACACATATGTACCTACTGAATATTGTACAATAAACAATAATACATTTTAGGTAGTAGGAACAATATATAATAGTTTCCACAGTTGACGTATATTAAAACAATTTCATAATGTAATATGTTTTTTATGCCATAAAAATAATGCATTGGATTACGTCGCTTATATCATCACTCTAATAAGTTATCACGTAGAATGTATATACAAATCAAACATATCCAATTAATCCGGTACTCATAAAATGTGAATGTATAATGACGTGTAATCTACATGAAATAATAATATATAAATTATTAAAAACCATATTCTGTGTTATTATGGTTACGGGATATAGTAATAAAGACCTAGTATAAGGTAACAGGTATAAAAATATGATTTACTTTTTTTAGCCACCCGCCCACCCATACAATGTATGATGTCATCAGTCATGAATATCTTTTTCACATTGTATTTTATAATAATTGTTGATATTATTCTGGAAGTTATATTTTGTTGTGTAGGATATTTTTGTTATAATTATTACGAAACTGTGTGTCTATAACTATTTGTTATATAAATCTACTTCCCACTTGATAATAAATCAATTGAATAAAAATATGAAGAGTGTTTACAAAATATTATAAGAAATAATCGTGGAACATGAACATAAAAAAATAATGATGTCAAAAAATAGTGAAATATAATTTTTTTCAAACATTTTATTAATTACTAAAATATTTGAATAAAAAGTATTTTAAAATCTTTAATACTATTCAAGATAAATGGCTTAGTTTTAGATGGTAAGAGAAGCGATAAATGTATTGATTTATAATGATATTGTGTGCGTGTTTTTTTGTTGTGTCTGTCATCACCTTTCGGGCCAGTAAAAATGCTTCAATATTCAACAGCATTATTTCTGGTAGGAAAATGAATATGAATCTATTCTATTATAATTGGTAAGGTACCTACTTTGGGGAGGGGGTCCAATGTAATAATTCCCAATAGTTTTCAAACGCTTCAAGAAAAACAAACTAGACATTTTTACGAAAACCAAGATTTTAACGCAAAACCAGTTTTTGAAAGTATTGGTTTTTTATGCTAAAAAAATTATACGTGTAGATACATGCAATTTTCACTGAATGTTTGTATTAGCAACTTCCATGCACCATAAAACACGTAACAAAATATAAATTATAGATAGTTACATTCATATAGAAACCAGATATATTTTTTTTATTATCCACTACTCTTGATTATGACTATGGGTCTATTGATTTTCAGCAAAGCATTAATGCAAGTGTATCAAAAATTACACATAAAAATGTGAACGATCCATCTATTTAAATTTTGATATTTTCCCAGAGTCCTACGCCAACGACCATACCACGTTGAATACACCAGTTCTCGTCCGATCACTGAAGTTAAGCAACGTCGGGCGTAGTTAGTACTTGGATGGGTGACCGCTTGGGAACACTACGTGCCGTTGGCATTTTTTGCTCTTTTCAATAAATATTATTTATTATTTATATTAGATTCTGACCCTAGCGATAAAATTATTTATTTTATAATAATATATGTTTTTTTTTTGTGCACGTCGTCACATTTTGGGACAGTAAAAATGGCTTGATTTTTATAGCTATAAGAATTGAAAATACAAGGATTCACATAAATAATTTGTGTCATAACTTATAAGTGTTATAACCAAAAAATCTAAAAATATATTTACACAATTATTTTTTACACACATTCTAAGTTAAATTTTGGACAAATTACATATTAAAACCTAGAATAATAACTTTAGTTATTTTGTTGTATTTTAAATGATTATTCATGATGGATACTTAAGACTTTTGGAGACTTGAGTAGGCACATTATTATATTGAATACAGTGTAGGATAATGGTAAAAAAAATACTTGTATCACACAAATATCATACAACTTACTTTGTATTAGTATAGGCTGACAGACCGTCTTCGCTTAGAAAGTTTTTGTTATCCAATGATGATCGAATTCAAATTTAACACATCTATTACGGCCTCTTACTAGACACCTAACGTACAGCAGATCATTACGCACTTACCCATTTTTGTTTTACTAATGAAGGTTTTGGTAGAAGAAGGACGAAGAGTTGTGTCAATTCACAAAAGTTTTTCAATAGAGCAAAGATAAAGTTTGTAAGCTCTTAACTTTATTTAATAGCATTTACTAACATAATTTGTAAGTCCTCAAAAGTTGTACAAAATGTTTTTTTATTAAACAAATTGAATTAAATCAATCATGTTTTTCCAATTTTACCAAGTAGGTACGGTTAATAATTTAAAGCAATAACCAGTAAACCGCTAGATTTACTTGGTGATCTAGTTTGATGGTAACATTATATGCATTTATGGTGTATTAATTGTTTTTTTATTTTCAGGAAAGGATTTTACCATAGAAAATTTTAAGAACAGTAGTCCGACCAAGTGTCCAAATATTCACCGTTCAATAGACGAATTCCCCAGCGATTTCTTCACCGAAGAACAAAGACGTCACGGAGCCATTGTCATTCATTTAATTCTTGCATTTTATGGATTTCTATTCATAACATTTGTTTGCCAGGACTATTTTCTACCATCAGTATTATATATATGTTTAGGTTTGATGGATGTTTTATTTTTATTTTTTTTTAAGTGTTTGAATAATATTGAGCTAAATAATTGGTAGGATTAATTAATAAAATAAAATAAAATAAAATTTAATCGACTAAACATACGGGATATATAATTGAACCGTTAGATTTCAGTTTTTATCGAGTTGTTTACTAACAAGATGGGGGTGGGGGGGAATAACAGTACATATACTTATGAAGGCTTTCCCCTTTTCAAAATCGATGCATAATGTATGCAATATTCTTATACCTCAACGTATTACAAAATGATAACACGGCGTTGTGGATAGGCAATTCAGCTACACTACTGTCGATTCATTCAGTTATTCTCATACTATACACGAGTAGAGGTAATTTGCCTGTCACAGCCCACAGGATTTTTTACTCGACGTTTCGAAGCATTAGGATTATGATAGTGAATAAGTTATTTCACTTATTCAGTGACTTAAAGTCACTGACATAATAATAGGTAATTCCAATAGTCAATAATAATAGGAAAAAAAACCATATTGAAATTAATTGAATAATTATTCAGTTCAAAAATCGTCGATATCGGAATAATAAATAATTGTTTTTATCGTATCGCCTGCAAGTATTTATATAACCACCAATAAACATTAAGGTAACTAGTAGACTTCTCGTTCCATACTGCAGTACACCGTACATATATTAGTTAAAGGGACGTCCTATCCATGTATAAATTACCTATGAGCAAACCGCGATTAGACAATCTACCCAGATAGCCTTTCTCTAATGTTTTGAAGTCAAGCGGCGTCCTAAACTATACGTCTTACTAGAACTGTTGTTGTATTATACAATATTGCTCGTCGTAAAATATTGCATGGCTTTGAATATTATAAGAACACCACGGTTTGACGATATGGTTTGAATGTCGGCTGCTAAAACTTGTAAGCTCGCCACGCTGGACTTTCGATCGCTACCATAATACGACATTGTAATATCATTATACGACCTTACATATAACTCGTATGGTTTTCAGATCTTGGGATCTCGCCGGACGTTGCCGGGGCGACGTTCATGGCGGCGGCAACTTGCACTTCCGAACTTCTCGTCTCCGTGATCGGAACTTTCGTGACCAAGTCCGACCTCGGAGTGGGCACGGTGGTGGGCAGCGGCGTCTACAACACGCTTGGCGTGTCGGCTTGTGCGGGCCTGGCAGTCTGCGGCCGGCCAATCGTGGTGGAAAAGTGGCCGCTGATTCGAGACAGCGCCGTGTACGCAACGTCCATAGCCGTGCTGGCCGTCATCGCCGTGGACAACGTGATCGTGTGGTACGAGGCGCTGATCATGGTCACCATGTTCTTTGGATACTTTGTCTTCTTGTTCACGCAATACAAGCTCGTCGAAGCAGTCGACAAGTGGAAACACAACGGTGGTTAGATCTGACATTAAAATATATTTTTTATCACATCTGCACTGAAAGTTTAGTTTTCGATGACGGTTGAAGTGTTGAAAAGCAACCTTTTTCATCCATTTTGTGGTAAAGTGTGAATCCTCATAGTGCCGAGTGATAAAATGGAAATCCCAAGAAGTATCGGGTGGTAAAGTAGAATTCCCCAAAAGTTCTGGTCGTATCCTCTGCACAACCAGACACTGAAATCTTGACCACGGTCCTAACAAAACATAAACTTTTAGTTTCATCTCTTATTTATATCATATTATACTCCTTGGATGACTCTTAAACATTTTTCTTTCGTGAAATTGTTTTCGTTGAATAATCTGTTCGAAGCACAGATTAACGAATTACCTTTAAGTCGCTGTCACACGGATGATAGAAAAACGCGACTGTTGCTGTCGTGAAAGAACTGTCATGCATGAATGATAGTTTGAGAGTGAATAAGTAGCTAGTGTTATAACTTATAGTAACTACCATGGAGTTCGTACAGTAAGCTGTTGTGGAGGCAACTATCGCGTTTTACTATCATTGTGTGACCGTGGCTGTACCGTTATCGATGAACTCAGATGCGTGACAAAAAATGGTATGTGTGGCTCATACGGGATGACAATTATTTCAGTGAGAAATAGCTTACATCCCTCCCCTGCCATACAATATACTAACCTACCTATTATTTCATTGCATCGATATTTTATAGTCATAAGATATGGTGATGATGTCCGGCATGTTCCTCACCATTATAATAATGGGATGGGTCGGGGGCGTAATATCTATTGATGATAATGGACTACGGTCAGCATTTATCGATTTAACGGTTTTTGAAAAAGCCTAAAGACGTGCGATTGTCGCAGACAATATAGTAGACGAGACAATATATTTTTATCCAAATCCCATTAGTTCCAAAAAATTATGTGGGAAACTATCATTATGTTTACGATAAAGTACCTACGTATATTTAAATGTTCTAACGACTTACAGGGATAACAGTTATTAAGCGTATCAAGCGATGGATATTTTGTAGAAAGTACGCTTTGATGGAATCTCAAAATGTCACATTATACAGAAGTGATATACAAATACGTCAATACGGAACAGGTTGGTTGTTAATATTGAGAATTCATAAGGTATGTTTTACTTTTCTGGTTTCCCAATAGCTTTGCTGTATCAGACTTCGGAACTGTAGGGACTCATGCGCGTCACCAGATATTTTTTTAGGGGGGGGGGCAAAAGTAATTTAAAATGGACAATGGACATTGTAGATAATATGTTTGGACAAAGCTCAAACTGATTTCAAATTCCAAGGGGGGGAGTACCCCATTTTGCCCTCCTGGGTTTCCTAGGGTGCTGAATGAAAATCATATCTCCGTATTTATATTATATCAATTTAACATTATGCATTTTAGGTACCTATACATATATTCCTCTGCCATCTTAGACCGCTTTTAAGTTATAAGTTATTTTGATTTTATTAATGTAGATCGTCTGTTAAACGTTTTCTATTAAATAGTCGAACATCAGCTGCAAGAAGGCGATCGAGAGTCTTCGAAAATAACATTTACTTCGACAACAACTTTCAGCGAACGTGATCAATCGAATTTCGATGAACAAAGTAAGTTAAAAAAATGTAACCGCATAATATTTTATGGTGGTTTATGTGTTATACACTTATCTATATTATATACATTTAGAACCGTATTACTATAATATAGTAATTTTAACTTTTCAGTCTAAAAATAAATCGTTTTATGCAGCTTATTTACCTCCATCGAAATCGTCCAGGATCGATATGTTGCTGATCGTCTGGCGAACGTTTTGCTTGCCGGTTAACTTCGTGTTGTGGGCCACGATACCGGATTGCCGGACCAAACGATCACTATTCCCTATCACGTTTGTCATGGCCATCATATGGGTCAGCACTATCACGTACGTTTTGTCGTGGTTCTTAACGATATGCGGTAAGTATAAAAAGTAAAACGCACTTCTGTGTAAACGTGTTGCATGTAGACTTCAAATATTATAATACTAAATACCTACTCAAAAATATCACTTTGAAATATATTTAAAAAAAAAATAAACGTAGGCTTCTTATAAACGAAATACGATAAATAAAAATAAAAGAATGCACTTAAGTCTTTTAGCTTAACACATTTGTGCGTTTAACCGTTGATTAATTCTGCAGGGGCATCTAAATAATATTTTGGTACTGGCGTACTACAAGTATAACATTGTAGTATCTATTTATATTTTATATAATAGCTATTTGAAATGTACACCAATTTCTGGTTTAGGGATGAAGGAATTTTAACTTTTATAATCTTAATTATTATTTATCTATCTTTATAAATGCATTTTATTTAAGTAACTTAAATTTGTAGAATTCATCTCTACATAAATCATACACATACATTCGGTTCAAGTCGTCATGGACATCCCACAATTTTTTTTATTTATGTTATGTACAAAAATGTTTGCTACTATTCACTACGCTTTCTGTGTATAGGTACCTAGCGTACTTACGGGAATTGTTCTGGGGGCCACCTGCAGGAGACTAGAATAACTCAACGACTAATTCAGTACCTAATTCAAGGATAAATAACCCGGTATTAAGTATTGACATATTTGGTTTAGTAATATCAATAAAGTATAAATAGATTTATATTTTGTGATATATAGGGTGTGCAAAAAATAAAAATTGTGTGAAGTGCAAAAATTGTGTTGACATATCAGTAGGTTCATTATTACCACTTTGACACCTTGTTATCTGTGTTGAAATGGTTCATCGCAATAAATAATAATTATATTATATTATATTCTTATTGCTTGGTGTTTATTTTATTTCACCCTACTACAGGTGATACGTTTCATGTCAGTGACGTTGTCATGGGCATAGGAGTCTTGGCGGTCGGCAGCAGCATCCCCGAAGCCGTTTCGGGCATAATAAACGCACAAAACGGTAAGAACTAGGAATTTAAATGTAACATCAACGGTAGATACAAACTAAAAATACATTTCTAGCTATTAAGCTATTACCAGTAGCGAGGAGGGAGGTTCTGTTTGGGGAGACACTGAAAAAAAATAGCACTAATACTTCTGGACTCCCCCTTTTACTATTTTATCTATACACTAAGAAATATATGTTCAAAAACTAAAAACAAAATGAAATATTATATTTAAAACGCTACAACTTTCTTAAAAATTAAAAATAATAATTTAATATAATAACAAATGTATTATAATTTATAGCAAACAAAATAAAATGTAATATAATTAGACTTGCCATTCGGCACGGTTTTAACAGCGGCCCCGGTGTCCCGGCCGGTCATTAATTTTGTTTTGAGTAATGGAAGCCGATCGAAAATAACTTTAATATTGTATTATTTAATAACGAAACATGAAATAATAGTGTACATAATACGTATCAATGTATCATTACATAATTGTATGATTATCGTATTATGTTATACTGTTATCTAAATTTTGTCGACATGGTTTCAGGTTTATTTGTCATTTTATCTCTATACGATTAGCCATGAGGTATATCGTATATAAAATATAATTTTATAAATACAATTACTGTCAGTGTTTGGTTCGTGGTCCGAGTGTACATTACGTACGTGTTTGTGCGGTTATATTTTTAAAAATATCAAAATAAGCTTATAACTAATAAATGTAAAATGTAAATGAAATAAATGTATTGGTAAGTACTGTTAATAAAAAAATTGTACTTATTGGTTTATGAATTTTAAATAAAATAACGGATATTCATACATCCATATAATTAAACTAACTATACTAAGAAAAAAAAGGTGAATGTCCTGGTATGGTGATTTTAAAATCTAGCTGCCCTAAGCATAATATACTATATACATGCAACTCGCATTAAGATGGCGTTTAAAAATCAAATGTACATTGAATCTATTTTTCTACTTTTGTCTTAGAAAATAAGTCAATTACATTAAATTCAATAGAGGACACTGTCTTTTATTTTTTAACTGAAATATTTTTCGTATGAGTAGTAATAATTTCATCTTTCAAAATGGTCAAACTATCAGTCATGAGGATAAATTACAAATTACCATATAGAAAATAATAAATATTAAGAAACACTTACGATGTACCTATCACGGAGGCGACGTCTATAATAATTGAGGACCGAAGTATCGCCCATCAGGTATTGTTGCGAACGGCGAGACCCGTCTCATGGTGTATAAAAAAAAGATAGCTAACTCCACTCACATTAAAAATCCCCCTGTACCTGCGCTCCCATATTGCGTCGCAACGTCTATTTGATATAATAACATATTGGGAATGAACAGCATCGTCAGCTCGTGCCTTGTGCCCGCACAGCGCTCATCTAATCTATTTTAAGGATTATATAACTGTATAACGAAAAACCGTTTTTAACAAATATTGAAGCATACATCATACTTATAATATAAAATGTAAATTTTAAATTTTAAAAAATAATTTATAAAACAAAATTATTATTAATTTCTCCCGTGTTCTAATTTCTAAGGTGGGGGGGGGGGCACGTTGTCTCATTGTCTCCTATGACGCTTCGCCACTGGCTATTACGTATATCATGTGACGATGGTCTTATTTATTACTGTGATTTTTTTTTTCATCTTAAGACATTCATAAACTTAAACTTAATTTAACTCTAATAAATAATAATGAGTGTTTTAAGGTTAAATCGATAACTTCGTACTGTATGTGCATATTATATATCGTTGAATAACTACCGGTATACCGGTGTTATATTATATGGTTATAATCAGCCATAAAGCCATCAACTCTTGTGATTGTAGGTTAAACAAAAATGTGTTTATATTATTTAATAACGTTTCAGGCGAAGGGTCCATGAGCATTAGCAGCGCGCTGGGGTCTAACACGATGGACATATTACTGTGTTTGGGTCTGCCGTGGTTCGTCAAGTGCACGCTGCCAACATCAATGAATGGCGGACCCGTCACACTGCAAACCGACACTTTGTTTTTTAACTGCATATGCATGATTGCCAGTGTGGTCGTCCTTAACGTGGCGGCCGCCATCGGTGGATACAAAATGCACAAACCATTTGGAGTCATGTGCCTTGTTGGACAGATGGTTGTCATTGCGGTGTTGGTTATAAATGGATTGAACGTTGCTAAAGATGATGGAAGTGTACGCTGTACCAGTTCGGTATAGGTATATTTCAGTAGGATAGTTAATGTTTTTTTATTTTACCGCTTATGAAAAACGACGGTACATTATTGTGCATTTAATTATACAGTAATTATTGTAATATTTGATACCAACTTTGTGGACAGTCCCAACTCCCAACAGTCTTTCTTTTCCATTTGTAGATATTCTAAGGGTGAGTAGATAATATAAGGTATAGTACGGACATACACTTTTGGATAAAACCAGTCGCTATGACACCTGCAAATAACGAACTGTAAGTTGGAAATTTTATCACGATGGGTATTTTAGAGTCAACGTTTACACGTTAGAGTCCATTGAAAATGCATAGTAATGTGAGTTAGTTTCCGTTCTAGAGCTACTACATAGTGTTGGGTGATAGGCAGACCAATGCGAGACCAGCAATTAGAACTTTAAACGCATGTCCAATACTTATTAATATGTTCATTCCTTTTTAGACAATCATCAATATGCACAAGTAAATTTAACTGTACTAAACTATACCAAAGTCCAAAAATATATTGTATGTGTATAGTGTATACCCATTAAACATTATAAAAAAACAGTACCCAACTGACATAATTGACAATAATTGTATTACTATCTTCATAATAATACTCTATACCTTAGAACACTTACACATATACATTATGATCTAAGCTCTACTTTCCGTTCTCCAAAGCTATAAGAATGACTTAATAATATTATGTTATCGAAAATACTGACATTTATCTCTAAAAATTTCCTATATACTTATTACTTAATTATCTACCCATCTCTTATATTATAGAACGCTTAATAGTTAAGGTTTTATCCGCTCGGTCGTTTTCGGAGCGCGTCCAATCGAAAAGTTAGATTTTCCCATATGTGGAATAAGGAAGATCCAATTGAATCGAGGGCCCGGTCACCGCCGCTGCTGTTATCACGTTTCTGTTATCACAACCCAGGTTTTCTATCAAGTATTATTATTTTTTCAAAGTCCGTCAGAATGTTGGCTCTGTTACCAGGTTTCTTCCGATTTTGACCCTTTTTGGGCCTTGTATTTGATTCACGTTCCCAAAAAAGTCTCAAGTCAAGTCAAGTGTAAGTCAAGTGTTCGGGTTTTGTCCGTTTTTAGGTAGTTTCAAAAATTAAAAATTAAAATTTAAAAAAAAATAAAAAAAAAAAATATTTTGAATAAAATTTGACCAATACATCTTAAATCGTGATACCAAGTCAAGGAATATTTTCGTTTTTTTGTCCGAGCGTAGCGCAGCGAGCGAGTGGCCACGCGGGCATCACTGCGTGAGCATCACTGATGGATCGTTTGGTATATGAAGGTATAATTGTGGTATACACTTCCTTATCATTTTTCGGGCAACTGCACCCAACTCCCCGTTGTCACGGTCGTTATCGTGATGACCTCGGCGTTCTTATCGATATCCGCGAGAGCGCGACCTGGAACAGATCTGACGCGGGTGGCGCGAACCACCGGTCGAGTCAATGGTAGACGGTGGCGTCATATTATGCTGGACCGTCGTTTGAGCAACATACCTTGATATTTACATTATAATACTTTGCATATAACACATTGTGTATAAATAATAAAAAGTTGTGTCGTTCATAAAACGTGTCTGCTGTCTTTTCTAATCGTCCTGATACTACATTGGCGCAGTCGGCAAAGGAATAAGGTAAGTGCTAATTTTAATAAAAAGTAATTTTAAGTAAATTAAAATAAATTAGCATATGTTGGGTTAAAGAACCTACAATAGGTGTTCTGATCAAACCGGTTCCTAATAGTTTATTCTAATTTTTTTTTTTAAATAAAATATTCAGGACTTATCCAATCAAGGGTGGAAAATATTTACCAAATTTTGCGAAATTTTAGCATAATTCCTACAGGGTCAAACTTGACTTAGGCTATTTATAAATTTAAAGTAGAGCTCTGTCAATAATAATATCCTGATATGCATTATTCTCGTATCGAATTTTATTTAATTAGGTGAATAATAGCAATTAAAATTTAATAATTACAATGACGGTTAAATGCATTTTTGTCTAGTGAGTTTAATATTGTCAATATAAGTCAGGAATCATCGAAGCGAGGTATCGAGATCGGGGGTCCTAAGTTGATATACCCGTAATACTTGAGTAGTTTATTCGAATAAAGGAGCTTACTGACCAAAAATCATTAGGTACTGTTTGGGGTAACTGATAAGTCGTCAGTTCAGATACCGGGAGAAAAAAACATCGAGGTCTAGCGTTAGGCCCACGAAGATGAGGTCAACACCAAAAATAGTTTGATAAAAAAGTTCATAGGGCAGATGTTAGATAGTGTAGGGCACTGGAGGTTAAGAATTAAATAATTCAACAATTGATTATTACACATCAGCACGTTTACGCTTTATTGTAAGAAGAAACATATATAATCAAATGTTCATTAAAAAAAAATTAACATTTACGATAGACTTTGGTCTTGGCGTCGTGGAGAGTTAACAGCGCGGGGCTGGTCCACGAGCACGTGGACAAGGCGGGTCATCGGTTAATACTATATGAGTACCATAACTTATTACTGTAATAAGATAGAAAAAAATAGATTGAAAGGATTGGAAAGTCAACAAGCAGTAGCTGACAACTGTTACTCTCAGTGAGAGCTTTTAACGTTTGTAGTGAAGTTAGCCGAAAAATAGCTTAATACACTACCCGGACGAAAGTCAAAATCTTCTTTCCGAGAACAAATTGGCTAAAATATGAAACCGATTGTTCTGAGAAAACTCTCGAGATCGGAGTTTACCTGGAATTTCCTGTAAACAGTACGGAGTTCTTAGTGGTTGGGTTCACAAACTAGAAGATCGGATGTGCAACCGCGAGTCCCACGTCAACCAAGAGAGATGCTGAGCATGGATCTAATGGGTTCGTATCCGTGAACGCTGCAGGATTGCGGGATTGGTTGTATAATAAAGCGCATCCGCTGTCAAATGTGGAGAAGCGCGGTTCACTGGTTAGGTCCTTTCATTTTGGGGGAAACAATTAGGAACCGGAGTATTCTAAATGGAGAGTAAACACCCTACTAAATTACATGTCTTACAAGCGAGCTGCAGGACCGTTAGAAAACATTAACTAATCATATTTGATTATAGATGGCAGGGCAAGCAAACAACCTTGGCCCATCCCACTACAACCGCCCATCTCGTTACATGAACGCGAATCGTGTTGTGGAACTCCGGAAAATGGCGGCGAAGCTTTTGCGAGAAGCCAGGAGGCTGTCAGGTGAAGGTCCAGAAGACACGATAGACGGTTGGTCACCAGAAAGAGCGGCCACTGCGTCCTTACGCCAGATACGTGGCAGCTCTACGGCATGGGCGCTGTTTGAGCGGGGGCTCAATGAGGGACGGAAGTCAAACACCGCAGAACATGAGCCAGCAAGGAATTGGTCAGGACCTCCTGCGCAAGTGCCAACCTCGCCATCGGATCCACGACGATACCAGCCCTATTCCGTCCAGGACAGGCGATTTCCAATTCAGCAGCCACCGGCCCAGCAGCTGTCGCAACACTCACAACAGCCAAATTACCTGCAGAATCATTTTTTAATGTACCGTCGTCGCTATTGTCATTAATATTTAGGTTCTAATACATTGTTAATAAATACACTGTGTATAAATAATAAAAAGCTGCCTCGTTCATAGAACGTGTCCGTTGTCTTTTCAACCGTCCTGATCGTTGCACAAAATGAGAAATGTATATTGTAATCCATACCTATGTCGAGTGTAACAAAATAAGCGTTTCCGTGTAACGCTTCGTTCGTTTCCAATGTGAGTTTAGGCTTAACCACGCAGGTTATCGGATATGTTTCATCAGTCATCACTCATCACACCTGTAGATTACAGGCAGACAGGCTCCCATGGAAAACTATCGTGCACAGCTTCAGTCTGTGCTTGAGGTTTAATTCGGCCGTTTTCAAACTAGGACGCCTTGTTCGGAACTCTTGTCTGGACGTAGGTACTTGATATCGGCCGAAGTAAACTGCATTAAGATGTTCGACATCGAACTAGACTCTAGAGCGCCGTTTCGGCAGATCAGCGAGGTCCTGATTTCTTTGCTATAAGTTCATTTTTGCCAGGGCACTTAACCACTCGACCTGCAAAGCAGTTTGCATCGAGTCGTCGGCAGAAAGTAAATCGATCAATACCGACTTCTGTATTGAGGAGGTTACCCAGACGGCAACCCGATATCGAATGTTTCACCCACGCAATATGTCTGCATGAAAAATTATGCCAAAAAAATTAAACAATCGATAGTAAATCTCATAATGTACTAAATTTACAGTTTCTAAACATTTTAGAATTTAAAGATTTAGATTTGCTATAATGTATTAACATAATTTTACTTAAATTCCTTACTCATGAATAATAGTTTTATAGAATTCAACAATTTACTTAATAAATATTTGTATACATGGGTTTTTTGTTGGTTAGTGTTCATAAAATTATAGAGCTTATAACTTACAAATTAAAGATTTAGAGGGCTTATGGATGCCTTGTCATTATTTTCTACTAATTTGTTTAAACATTGGTTGCATTTAAAAGTGCAATAAATATATCAAAATAGTATACACCAATATAATTTAGGAAGATACAATTGAATTGATTTTGAACCTCTGGCATGAACCAAAATTCGGTAAGTTTAAAATGACTGTCATACTTACTAATAATGTATTGACTATTGACTATTGAGAGTAGATATACAACTTGTGGCTAATAAAAGTATTGAGAGTGTTATAAACAATTAGTAAGTACCTATATTGATATAACTTTTTAAAAACTTGCAGTTATATTTAACGAGGTTATTTCCACAAAATCAACTATTTAAACCAATTTGAGAATATGAATACTTTAACATAATTTTTAAGTTATTTATTTAAACATTGGTCCCAATTAATAATATAATAAATGCAGTGAAATAGTAAATACATAATTAATTATTCAATTCAACTCATTCCAAACCTCTTGGCTCTTGTACAACAAATGAACTCTAAGTTTAAATTGTGGCGAGTATGTTTTGATTAGGCATGTATTAAACTGTTGGCTTTCATGAACTCTACATTGCTTTAGATACCTATCTTAGATATAATTATATAAACGAGGTATGTATATTATGTAAGTTCTATAGATAGTTTTATAAGAAAAAAAGAATAGTCTTTCGAAAATAATGAATTTGCTTTAAGTTTTGCTATATACGTACACATCTTGATTGCTCGCTAATTTTAATATACTAAAATGTACTAAATGATTCAGCAATTATTTGTCTTTATATCAGTGAATTTTGATCCTTTAGTATCAAAATTGTACACATTTCAAATATCTTTATCTATATAAAAATGAAATTAAAAGTTTTAAAACGCTTCTAAATACTTTACGAAATTAGGCACAAAAATTGAAATAAAAAAGTTTAATCCTGGCCCAAAACCTAACCCTATTTACCACTCAGAATATATTACTATAATTTTTTACTGATGATATTGAAATATTATTTAAAATACTTGATAACTATGTGTGATAGGATGAATGGGACTTTTTTGTTGTTATAATTCAATTAAAAACTCATATTGAGATATATAAAATAATATAAAACTTTATTTTGCATATTATACGGTTTTACTTATTATACTATATTTTTCATAAAAATGTTGTTAAAAAAATCAAACGGCTTACACGAATGTAATGTATTTGATCAATGTTGTATATATGTTGTGTAACTTCCATGTAATAATGGCTTTGCGTTTCATGCTACAGATGACAATCTTTCCTGTTTACCTTTCGTTTTTTTTTTGTTTTTTGTTTAAAGACATTGGAGCAATATTTACAATTATTAAATACAAGAAAAACTGGTAATACAAATAATAATAAAATACATTTTTCAATAAATTCAGTCAAATTTGTCTTCTTATCCAGAGTATACATATTTATTTTTATTTGTATTTGTTTGGATAATCAGAATAAAAATCCCTGGGAAAAAAATCCCCAGTCAAAGAATCCTCGACTCTTGGAAAAAAAAACCCCAGACTACAATATTACTCACAAACACATGCAAATTATTCACCAAATTTTTTTTTACGCTAATTTAAAATATATTATAATTATTTATATACAAATATATGCTTATAGTGCGATAATATATACTTAAAATGTAGAAAATGTTCAATTATATTATAGTATATAGTATTATTATATAGCTTATAGGAATGACAATTTTAAATATTACCTACGTTTCTTTCATTTTGATTATAATGTAAATAAAATATTATTAGGAAGCGTTTTTTACAAGTTTTACTTTTAATAGATACTTTACATGGCAGCAAAAATAGCAAGATCCCCTCAAAACCAAATACATTACCCAAAACATACTTTCAACAACGCATATCTGTATAAAATACGATCTCAAAAACCTAATCACATTTGAAAAATCTCTATGCGATTTAATAATATTCAAAATATACAATAAGGAAAGAAGGCTTCTCCAAATATCCAACCACCTCTATGCTCAGTTACCGATCCTACAACGATCGGCGGTTGTCGGCAACGACTAGCGTGTTATGCTGTAGACAGGAGCGGAGTTGGTTACCCACATATACAAGAAATAATATATCACGTTAGATAAATTCTAAGATGTATGTGACACCGATCGAAAAATATATTATACAATAAAAAAGGTCAATTAAATAATAATAATAATAATAAACCTAGTATAGGGCGCCCAGGGAATAATTAGAAATACATATATATATATATAAATAATAATGATAGGTACGTAATATAGTATAAAAATACAAGAACACTAGTATACAAAATGATGAATACGACCTGTTTCGTAGCAATTTGTCCGACGATGCACGTAGTTGAAAAATGGTACGATGACACGATGTCCCAATAGAACGTCAATGGGGATCGCATACGCGGAAGCAAAGCACAAAGTAGTTGCCGACTTGTCGATACGTTGATACTTGATAACTGGGGTAACTCACACCCGTAATGACCAAAACCGTTGGATATAAAACACTTGACCACAAGATTTGGTATAGCGGCACAAAAAATGGAACGTAATAACGGTGGGCGGACAGAGAAATGTGTCGGGTCTAAAGCTATGGTTTCCTAGAAAAGCGGTGCCGATATCTAGCGGCCGTAATGTAGCGTTAAGTGACACGTCACCCATACGTTGTCTATAAATAACATCGGAGTAGGTTTCCTAGAGAACGTTGAGTGTCACCGTTGGAAAAAGACAAAATTGAAAGTTAAAAGCTTTCAAGTCCCTAAGTCTAGCTGTAACTTTTAGTCTTCAAACATTTCTAATTAATGTAACAACATTCATATCCTAGTTATTATAATTTAATATTGCATTGATCATATCTTTATGTTGTGAAACTGTAGTAGAATAAAATTATAAAAAAAGAAGGAGGCGTATAGTGGGAGAGATGGTATAAGAGGACGCGGGACAGATGGTGCGCGACCGGTTCAATAGCCCACAAATTCCAATTCTTATAATAATCATACTACTACTTAATATTATTTGATTTACCTCTAAGTTTATTTAACTTGTATAATAATGTGAAGTATTAAATCCCCTTACCTTATATGGATGTGGCCGTGGGTGATGTATGTAGACCCTCGCTGCAATAGTAACGTCTCTGGTGTGGGTCGATGAGTGTTATTATTCCTTTACGACTTAATATTATTATATCCTATTGTAATTTTATATACATCTCTTTAACATAGTGCGTGTATTCTTAATGTCCATAGTTGGACGCAATTATGTTGGTAATTTAACAACACTTAGAAAATCTTGAGACTATGAATAGATTGAGATTGAGGAATAGAATTAGTCACTATGTTATGGTTGCACAGTGTGTTTATATGTGGGTGTTATGACACCTTTATGATTGTTTATTTGTTTTATTATTATGGGTGTTTCGTTTTGTTGTTGGGCTTCGATTTGTCTATATATTTGATGATGATGTTTAGGAATATCGATTGCTTAATAATATTTATACTGAATAGTATATTAATTACGTTTATTTTTTTACACCAAAATATTTCTTCACCTAACGTATTCACCCCATACGTTTATTAGAGTATAAATTATGAATTATAAAGTATATTATTTATATATTACAAAACGGTGATGTTCTTTCAACATCTATTTAATTTTAAATGCATCATTTAGTATTATGTTGAATTCGAAGTTTAATCATACAAATTTTTGAAATCAATGTTGTCATTTTGCAGTGTTAAGAAATGATGTATTCAACATTAAGTTGACTCAAACAAAATATGAAAGTATAGGTATTACTTATTACTTATTATTTAAATTAAAAAATATTTTTAGGTACCTTCATTAGTCAAAAAATACAGGTAGGCGTTTACTAGCTAACCTAAATGTATGAATTTTAAATCATTGTATGCTGTATAATATACTTTGTACAAAAATTTGGTACAATTAGCTGTTGCTTATTTATCTACTGTATAATTTACAATTTTATATTAAAAATTATAAGT